GTCGCTTAAATAGTTGGAATCAACGTTCACCCGGCTAAAAAAATCGATTTTGGCGAAAGTCGACTTTCCCCCGGGAAAAACGGAAAATCTGACCCTTTGAAAATCTGAAAAAAAAACCTTTTTCAGTTTTCACTTTTTCCACATACTTTTGAGAGTTCTGAATAGCCCGTCGCTCAAACAGTTGGAATCAACGTTGTTGGTTGTTCCTTGAAAACTGATGAAGCAAGGTAGATAAGAAAAGGTGCCATGGCATCACCGGTTTTGCCCTTTCCCTTATTCCTTATCAATTTGTAATTTTTTTCCTTTGATTTTTGTTTCAGAACTGGCAGGAATGCTCCAATGTCCATTAATAACGGCCAGTTACTCTGTGAACTTCACAAGGGCTTCCTGTATCCCGCCACAACCTCCAGTGAATTGTAAGTAACTTATTCAGTATACCTTACATTAAATTAAATAAAACATAAAATTACATTAAATTATTACATACATTGGGTGGGGTAAAACGGACACTAGACTTTTTTTTTAAATTATTCATATCTCAGAAACAAATTGATCAATTGAGCTCAGTTTAGGCTCGTCACAGAGGGAAAGAATTGTGCTTTGTATTGAAAAAAAAATTAAATTTTATCAACACTTCAACCCTTCATTGACATTTTAAAAAAAGTCAAAAGTGTCCGTTTTACCCCAACCTCCCCTACATTAAATTATTATTACATATTTTATATTAAATTATTTTATACATTAAAGAAGGGAATTTATACAGCGTTTCACATCTTTGTGACGTCATAGGAAATGAGTGGATGGGATTTGGATGAGGTAGGAGGGGAACCGGAATTATTCTCAATCATACAGTGGAGTCTCTGTATAAGATACGAAATTAAAGAGATTCAAGAATTGCTGCTCAGTCAAATGACTCGTATTTTTAGAGAGAAATTAATTTCAGTTCAACTGCAACGTGTGCAAACCAGTAAGGGTGCGGGTATCAGGGGTGAAGGGGGTAACCCGCTAATTTGAATTTTCCCCTGTTTCCCTGTTTGGCGTGCTGCAGCAAGAAATTGTATCGTTCGCGTTGAAGCTTGTCGTTATTTGCCTAACGATTGAATAATAGGTACCGCCGAATATTGGGCAGTGAAAAATGAAATAAAAATTCGGGAAAAAATATCATTGGCTTCTTTTTTTCGGAAGCTGGGGCAGAATGGGCTTGGCCATTTTATGGTTGGGGGATATTTGCAGGGAAAATCGAGCGTGACGAACAGTTTTTTTTTTCAGCGATTATTGGTTGGAGTATGAGGAGAAAAAACAAAACAGAAAGGTTTTGATTAATAATTGGAAAAGTAATGGGGCTGAACGGGTTCGTAGGTGTTATTTCACTCAGATGATGGACAGAGGAAAAATGACAATGACAACTCTCTGCATGTCAATTACAGTCGACACGAGTTTTTCAAGGCGGTTTTCATGAATTCGAGTATTGAATACCATTTTGTGGAATGTGGACAGACAAATTGTGATTGTCCAAATCACTTGGGTCAGAGGAAAATCGAATAATTCTACTCCTAATTCTAACAATTGATTAGAATTCAGTAGCGAAGTGGTAAAACGGTTCAAGTCAATTTTCACTACTGGCCAGTTTTGAATGAATATCTCGGAATCTAAGAGAGATAGCAAAATTTTTTTATAACCTTTTTTGTAGAGCCAATTTAGAGCTACAACAAATGTGATTACGTGAATTTCGCTATCTCGTTTAGATTCGGAAATATTCCTCAAAAACTCAACTGGGAGATAAGTCGACTTGAACCGCTTTACCACTTCGCTACTGAATAATAGCCAGAGTTATGAGATTATGTCATATTTTCGACGTTAACGATAGGAGAATCTGAAGCAAAGATGATCGATTTTTTCGCATTGAATAGATAATAATAAAATTTCTTATACGGAAAAAACCAAGAACAGGGGAGCAGGGAAATTACGGGCCCCATAATTTTTTTCTATTTGTATTTTGGATAATATCCAAATACAAATTTTTTGACACAAGTGAAAAGAAGTGTGACTCAATATTTCATAACAGCAGAGAACAAAAATGAGGATATTTATGTGACATTACTTGAATCATTCAAATTATTTTACAACTGTGGTAAAATGATTTAGTGGTAAGGGAGTCTATCCGTGCGAATGAAAAATAGGTTAAAAATATTGTCATGCAAAAAATGATGTTTTTCCGATTGAATTAAATAGGGTGACACATTGGGGTGAGGTTGAGAGTCAAGTTGACGCGGTATCTCAGTCAGATAGTGGACAATAGCTTAGCATAATGGTCAGATGGGGGGTTTAGCGTGGCATTGGCCCCCGGGGGCGTGTGCCTGACATTTTCGGGTATCCATCACCTCGAAAAAGCTCCCAAGCGTTAGTATATGTGTACCCAGGGGCTGAAAGCTAAACCGTCCGGGTCACGCAACGTCTTACATCGTCTGATATAAAATATAAAACTCCGTTTGAGGTATCACGCGTCGAAAATCATTGTGCCCTCGAATTACAGGGGGGAAAAAAGGCGGTTGGGGCAGGACGGGTGATACAATTGAACCCATTTTGCCCCAGTGTTCATGGGGATATTTGAAGAAAAATTATCCATGATTTTGGAAGAATATTTTTCGTTGATTTTTTTTTTTCTAGTGTTTGCAATTTGGAGAGAGAGAGAGAGAAGTTGATTCCGAAAATTTGTAACATTCGCTGGGTTTCTCATGTGTGCGCAAGAAGGGGTGAGTGGTAGTTTCGGGTGGAAGGTAGATACCCGAGCAAGAAATTTCTAATTTACGGTATAATTAAGGGTGTGGCTAGCAAAAACAGTTGATTCTAAACGTTAACTCGAATAAATTTACAAATTTCGTTTGTTAAACTGGAGGGAAAAGAGAATTCTAGTGGGAAATAGTTGTTTGAAGTAGCCAAATAGATTTTGATTACTCCGAAGGTGGATGTTTTTCGATTTTAACAGCTCGGGAGATTTTTAAATACTGAAACTGAAAATTTCTCAATATTTGTTTCAGTTATACTATTGTAACGGAGGAAGAATGGCGCAAATTAAATGAATTCTACGAGTCGGATCACGAAATAAAGATTGTAAATTTAGGAATTGATGAGGCTGATTTGAAGACGGATCCTGGTGAGTGAAAACAACCTAAATTAACTAACACAGAGACATTCTTTATAAAAAAAAAGCATGAGTAGTATCTCGAACGATCGGAGAACGCATAACAAACAAATGAGGATTGAAAACCATTCGATGAAGCATGAATAAATGGATCATAGTTACCCAAATAATTTAGGTCACGTAGGTCTCTTATAATTTTAATTCAGCAGCGAAGTGGTAACACGATTTAAGTCGACTTATCTCCCAGTTGAGTTTTTGAGGAATACTTCCGAATCTAAGGGAGCTAGAGAAATTTTCATAATAACATTTGTTGTAGCACTCAATCGGCTCTACAAAAAAGGGTATAACAAAAATTTTGCTGTCTCCCTTAGATTCCGAGATATCCATTGAAGACTGGTCAATAGTCAAAATTGACTTGCACCGTTTTACCACTTCGCTACTGAATTATTTTCAAACAAGTTAATCCGCCATCTAATGAAAAATGGAAATGTCGAGATACATTTTCTATTCGCAATTTCCTCCTATTGACATTATTAATTAATTATTCAGACGAATCAACCGCATAAACACCATAAATATTGAACAATCCATTCCCATACTGATTCAATTCCCTTAATTTTCCCATCGTAATTTTGGAATAACACCTCGAAACTCTCCCCAGAAAATCAAATCGATTACTCCCGCCTCCGTCCCCCAGGACCAAGCATTCGATCTTATTGACAATTAATTTTCCCCGAATGTTTTGCACTTGTCATTATGTAAATGCAGAAATCAACTGAAAGAGGGGAGAATTGCCCGGGAGAGGAGACGGGGGATTTAATGTCTTCATACACACGCCCACTGTAGTGTTGCTAAACCGTCGAGGTTCCAATGCATGATGTACAGAAATTACCCTAAAGACAAAAGCCTCAGACCCGATGATGAAAAAAAAAATGAGAAACATCAACTCGAGAGAAGAGAAAGACAGAAATAAGAGGGAATAATGCACGAGGACATTAGCTCCTTATTTACATAAATTCACCCCATCATCTTCACTAAAGTGTGCTTATAATTAAGACGTATCCAGTGAAATTAACTTGAGACAAAAACGCTGACAGTTTAAATGATACTGTTGATGGCTTTCGTAATTTGTTAAAGCACCAAAAAATTACCGATGTGTTATGGCTATTTGTACGGGGCTTTTTTTAATACTTGGGGCAAAACGGGTGCTACAGAGAAGTCTATTTGCCGAATTAATGCAGGAGTCATAAACAAAATAAAAAAAGTATTCGGAGAATTTATGCCAAATCACCCAAATTTCAGTAATTTTTTTTTTTTACTTCGTCAGGTTAAGTTGACAAACAGGCAAATTGCCTGTTCAAAGAGACAAAACGTTCACGAAGGAACGAAAAGAAATTGGGAATTGTGTTAAGTCGATCCTCTAAACATCCCATTGTCTTGTCCATCTCTTTGAATATTTTTTCCTCCTCCTTCGATCCTCTTTATTTTTCTTTTCACTTTACTTACTGCTCTCTTCCCTCGTTTCCACTTTCTCTTCTTCATTTTTTTTACGTAACATTTGTCAAGGCACTTTGGATTCGACTATCGCTGCCAGGGCGGTCTCTCACCCCTCCTTCCTCTCGATTTGAATTGCAAAAATATACCTCATTCACTCTCTTTCTCTCTCAGTCACTTGTACTTTCTCATCATTTTTACTTCACTTGGAGCATTTGTCTGAGTCTGATGTACCATCAGGGATCACTAAGGGCTGAACAAGGACGAAATGAAGATGTTTTGGATGAGGGGCCTTTTTTGGGCCTCATGTTCATATTTACGGCCTAGTCCGTTTAGTGGCTATTCCATGATTTCCATGGAGGAGTGGACCTAGTCTGCGTCCGTAAAACGGAACTTCACGGCCTCGATCGAGAAATTTGCGTTGAGGCCCAAAATGGGGCCGTAAAGTAAAATTTAAAAAGGTATTTTTTGGCCTTGATAATGAAGTGCAAGTTCAAGAGTGAATAGCAGTCCGGAAAATTTCACTTTACGGACTCTTTTTGGGCCTTAAACTCATATTTTACGGCCTATCATGCGTAATTGATATTTTATCGGTCGAGTGGGGGAGTGGGGATGAGCCAAATCCGTGAAATAGAATTTTATGTCACAATAATGAGATTTTAGGTAAAATAATATTCCACGGGCTTGTTCGGGGCCCTTGACTCGAATTTTACGAATAGATATTTCACGGATATTTTACTCCTAAATCGCATTCAGTATTGCTGTCCTGAAAATTCAAGAATATATTTACCAGAATTTTCTGGTTTTCTATTCATTTTCGGGGAAAAATAGAGCGGAAATTTACAGTTCTGTTTGAGTTTTTCATGAAATTCTGAATTTTCAGTGACAAATTTCCTGAAATTTCACGGAAAATTCAGACATTTGCTCTTAAAAAAAATAGATTCTTCTCCTAAAAAAGTGATTCCTTTGCCAGAGGGATTTTTTTTCTCACTCTACACCCACTCATTTCTTCAAAATGGGAAATTATGAACGAAGATAATTTGGGAATTAGGATTAGATCAAGTAGAAGAATAGATTACACTGGTGCCGTTCAGATGGTCGAATGGTGGGTGGGGGAGGGGGGGGGGGGGGCGAAAAATCAGGGGTTGTTCTTGGTGACTGATATGCCTGTGGACTAACGAGAAATGACTTAGTTCTCTCCCTTTCTCTCTCCTCCTCCTCCACCCCCTCTCTCTCTCTTTCACCCTACATTTGTGTCTCAGATGTGGAAGTGAGCAGTTTGGCCACATTACGGCAATGTCCAAGGCCTGCGTATCAATCAAGTTACCCTGGGTAACTCACCCCACTTCTGGGACACTTGTCTGCCCAATGTTATGCTCGTCTGACTCGTGCGATATTTTTGTCAACGGTGAGAGACTCAAATTAACAGAAATTACATTTTTCCGATAAAAGCGATAGTTCATTTTTTTTTCCCATTTTTGTATTTGATCATGTCCATTCATGTCTGGAAAATATTTTTTTACCTTAAAAAAAATTTTTGAAAAAAAAAATATTCAAAACATAGCCTTAACCCGTTCTGCCCCATCTGCAATTTTAAAAAATTTCAAATTTTCAACTTGAAGTTTTGATAAAAATTGTTTGCTCATAAATCATAAATTTATTTATTTTATTTATCTATTTATTTATTTACCGCTGTATTCACAACTTCATTGAATTTGAATTTTCAATGGAATATGAATTTTCTAAAATAAAATGCCATGAATTGCCCATTTTTCCCTGAATTTTCACAGAATAATTGAGCTGAAAAATCAAGTATTTTATTGAAACAGAAAATCAACGGAATATTTGATTTTTCAATGATGAGATTTTCTGAAATTTCAGGGGAGATTGAATACAAAAATTCAATTTCCCTTGACATAAATTCAGACAAAAATTTTCAACACTGTAAAATCAATAAATTAATTGGGATCAATCGGGCAGAATAGGTCGAGTTTTTCAGTCTGTTCTGCCCCATCTGCATTATTTGAATCATGAAAAATAGAGTTCATTAATTTTTTTTTGGGACGAAGGGTAGATATATCGTTCGTGTCCACAGCACTTGCTTCAAATTCACCCCCTCCTTCACTACCACCCGCTGACCGCATTGGACCAACGGAAACTAATCTGCAAATTCGTGTTCTAAATCCTAAACGCCATCTACCGAATATTAATTCTCCTTCCTCCTAGACCACTTCCTTCGAACCATTGGCGAAAGGCCATTGTGAAATCGTGTTTTGTTGTTGGTGTTACGTATGTGTACATAACACTTACTCAAACCCAAGTTTTGTCCAGCCCCTCACTTGTTACATGATTTGCGATCCTTACGTTTTGGTTTTGGTTATTTATGGGTTTGAGGTGAGGGTTTGGATTCATTTTCATCTGGTTGGACAATTTTCAAGCACAATAACAAGATTTTCTTCTCCACATTCAATGAAATAAATATGGAGAACAAAAATTTATCAACTGATTTATTTTTATTTTACTTAAATTTACTTAATTCAATTTATTTTCTTTGGCGAGAACTGTTTTGCCCCATCTATTATCTTGTTTACCCGCCGCCACGACAGTTTCAAAAGCATTCTTTTTTTAGTTAAGGAAATGAAAAAAAAATGGAAAGTTTAACTTCGAGTTTAGACAGGATTCGATATGAATTATCAAATGCAAATATATGAAAAGGTCATTAATAGTGTATTGTGTTACTAGTGCGTAAAGTTCTACTTTTTCACACGCACCTGTAGCACATCGTATTTTTTGTGGTATCTGCCGAGTTCACTGATCGGATTTTGAGAATTCACTTTACGCACGCCGTGCGGAAAACAGCCGTTTTACGAAAATGACAGCTAATAGATAATTTGCCACAGCGAATCAGATATTTGCAATTTCCACTTTTTCCAACTTATTCTGAATGTCAATTAAAAACGCTCTTTGAAAAAGTTGAGAATTTTTTCTATTTTTTTTTATCATTCTGTCATAATTTTTGGGAATATCTACATGATGTACCACTCAATTGACAATTTTGGATTACGAAAGATAAAAAAAATCCAGATAACATTCGAAAGATAGTACACCCGGGCCTTAATCGAAAGTTTTGACACTGCTGCTACGTTCACCTCGTGTCAAAAAGTGTCTTTTCATAACGCTGTGACGAAAAGTGAACTTTTCGGCACGCTCCGCGTGCCTAANCCAACTTATTCTGAATGTCAATTAAAAACGCTCTTTGAAAAAGTTGAGAATTTTTTCTATTTTTTTTTATCATTCTGTCATAATTTTTGGGAATATCTACATGATGTACCACTCAATTGACAATTTTGGATTACGAAAGATAAAAAAAATCCAGATAACATTCGAAAGATAGTACACCCGGGCCTTAATCGAAAGTTTTGACACTGCTGCTACGTTCACCTCGTGTCAAAAAGTGTCTTTTCATAACGCTGTGACGAAAAGTGAACTTTTCGGCACGCTCCGCGTGCCTAAAAGTC